ACCTCCTTCATTGCTACTAGCTGTTCCCGTGCTCAGGTCCTTTCAACAAGTGTAACCATCGTTTTTTTGCCAACCCAGTGTGCCTCTGCGCTATGGCGGGGCTGCTTTACGTATTTTGACCTGATTCATTTTGCATTTAGGAAGAAACTAGAGTTATACCTATAGCAGAGAAACTTCCTATTTACTTGCAGAAATGAATGGAAGGCTTCAGTACTTTTTCTGAAAAAAACTAATATTATTAGCCTCTTTTGTTTCAGCCGAAATCAGAAATGGTATTTAGTGTCCAAACATATATTTTGAAGGTATAGGTGATTTTTAAGCCTCCTGGAAGTAACATAAGCGTTAACTTTTTAGACAGGCTTTCAGGAAGAATAGTGTTAGTCCAGCTGAAGGTAGACAAGAACAGAGAATGGTATAATTTTATTTATCTGTTGTGCCAGCAAACGTTTACCAAGCCCCTTACTGTGTGCCGCGATTCCTATTTCGTGGGAGAGGCCTCTGGGGCTTAAAAAAGTAAAGGAAATAATAGAACCAGGATTTACACCAAGTTTTCTAGCACTAAACCCAGTATTTGTCCATCAACTCACAGCAATTTGTATGCTGTGTAATAAGAGTTTTACGTGTTACATTCTCAACTTGTCCAGAATTGGGACGTGCTGTATTTGTCTCTGGGTCCCCAGTGCCTCTTCCAGGGCTCCATCTTGGTCTGCAGTCAGGGATTGTGTGATGAATGGGCTCATGAATGACTGAATGAAAAGACAAGCACTATCTTTTATACTCTTTCAAAAGCTTTCTTTACCCAGCTGAGAGGTTTCTCTTCATGGAAGGTATATTTTCTCCAAAATAAACCTGAAGTGGATCAAAAGGCTTTTTTTTTTTTGATTCCTACTCTTCCCACAAGTGAAAAAAGTTCCTTTGTTACTTAAAATATCTGCCCCAGATCGTGCAATGCCGTCTCTTAGCGCCAGTGCTTATTATTGTGGCTAATTTGGTCACGTATGTTTCAAGGAGAACAATGCCTCAGAAATTTTTAAAAGCAAAACAGCAATCTGAAGCGTTTGTTGTAATGAGATGTAAATTGCCAACATCATAGTGGAGCCTACTAAAATTTGCAATGAAGTGTTTTTTCTCCTTTTTAAATTAAAAGCACTAGAGGCCCTCCCTCCTCTCCCCAAAGAAACCACATGCTTTTTGTTCCTTTTCTCTCTGATTCTGTAATACTGAACACCCTGCTTTACTGACTGACTCATTCCTTCATTCATCTGCCATTTTCTGAGCCTGAGCCTGTGTCGGAGCCTCTGTTCTATGCCTGCCTCAGTGCCAGAGTCTCTCCAGAGGCATTATCAGGTGGCTGTTGGCAAGTCCCCATTTTACAGGTAGGAAAGCTGAGGCTCAGAGAGGTGAGGTGGCGTGTCTCAGGTCACGCAACTTGGATCCACACCCAGGTCTCCTGACACACCCCTTCCAAGATGAGCCTTTGGTTGGTCTCTCCTCCTTGCTGAGGCACCATCTGAGGCACCAGGTACCTTCTGTATACAATGCCAGAGGAGGCAGTTGAGGAGAGCTGTGCAGAGGGGTGGGATAGGGAGGGGGGGAGGGAGACACGAGAGGGAGGGGATATGGGGGTATATGTATACGTATAGCTGATTCACTTTGTTATACAGCAGAAACTAACACACCATTGTAAAGCAATTATACTCCAATAAAGTTGTTAAAAAAAAAAAAATCCCTGGCAGCCACCAGGTATTTTAAACAGTGCTGATCGGGTACATTAGGAAATAGTGTTCCTTGAGAGCCAGAAGATCCCAGTATGATAGCCTCAGTATTTGACAAAACTCTGTTGGTCCCTGAGGAGGCCAGCACAGGGGAGCATAGCATGGGTGTGCTGTGGAGTGCAGGCACCTGCTCTGGGCTGGGCCTGTGCTAGGCACTTGGGGCAAAAGAAGACCAGCAGTGCCCTGGCTCCCAGGGACTAGCAGTGACTAACTGAGCACCCAATATGACCCTCGTGTGGGGGAGGGGCAGTGGGGGAGAGCCACTGTTTACTGAGCACCTGCTTCGTGCCAGAGTCTGGATTAATCATTTCATATGTAACTCGTTTAATCTTCAGTCTGGCCAAGTCGCTGTTGTCATCCCTCCTTTCAGGTGAGGCAACAGAGTCAGAAGGGTTAAGTAATTACTGATGTGTAAAATTGCCTGTCAGGGATTGAATTGGAACCAGGCATTGTGTGGAGCCCTGGTCTCTGACGTAAAAGGACGCAGTCTCTGCCTGCCCTCAGGCCTCACGGTGGTCTAATGAGGGGCAGGCATAGAAACAAATGAGTGCATCTGATTATCATGGGGGAGGGGAGCGTCCAAAGGACCTGGTTAGGCCACTTGGGAACGGAGTCTCGGAAGAGGGGACCAGCGGAGGGTGGAGCCAGAGAGGTGACCTTTTGCTCTCAGCCCTTGCTCTTTCTGATGTCCCTCACTTGTCCCCCTGTAGCCATCTGAACTGTCCGTTCCCTTGGCTAGATGTTTCCAATTTCTATTTCACAGCCCTAGCTTCTACTTGCACGGCTGCAAACAGGTTTCAGATACTTGGCAACAGCTTCCCTCCTACCCACCCCGACCACCGCCCCCAAGCACCTCCACTCAGCAGCAGGGCTTTATTTCAGGATCTCTCCTCCAGCCCACTGAAGCCTCTTTCTTGCCCACAACTTTCTCTCCCCTCTCATGTTATGAAGAATTTACTGAGAGCTTGCAACGTGCCAGGCCTAGCCCTAGGTGCCAGGATTGCAAAGAGAGTAAAACTTTGCCCTTGAAGAGCTTCACAGTTTGATGTGGACAACAGATTGGTCGATGATTGCAAGTACAACTTGCTGGAAGTATTTACAATTTAGAGACCCCCTACTTGGTAGTGATCAGAGAAAGGCCTCACGAAGGAGACATCTAAGCTCTGTTCTGCAGTCTGACCAGGGGCTTGGCAGGCAGATGAGGGGGCGTTCAAGGCCAAAACAATAGCACATCCAAAGGCTCAGAGGCTTGGGACAACACAGCATCTGGGGGACGTGAGCAGTGTCAGGGGAGAGCAGGAATTGAGTGTCAGAGGTAGAGAGGAAGCTGGTTATTCTGGGCCTTCAGGAGGCTATCTATGGTGTGCAACTTAATCTTGAGGGGAATGGGAGCCTAAGCCAGGAAGGACCTAGTCGTGAGTAGATCTCTTTAGCAGCCGTTGTGGAGATGGATGGGAGAGAACTAGACAGAGTCAGAGCTGAGATGGATTCAATCTCTTCTCCAACACCTTCCCCTCATAGAAGGAAAAGGAGGCTCCAGAGGAGGGAGGCTATCTTGCCACAGATTACCTGTGCTCCAGTGGCTGCATGGACCACCCCCTCTCAGCCCATTCCTTTTTCTGTGTTGCTGAATGTCAGAGCAGGAAGAGACCTCAGATGCCAACTTGGCCAGGCCCTTTTGGGGAAACTGAAGTAATTACTTCTTCCCTGATCTAAGAAAAGATCAAATGCTCCACTTGAGTTTGCTTATATCTCAGAAATGCAACTGAGATCTCACACAGAGAGAAGATAAAGTTTGGCATCTGCTTCTGAAACTTTAGAATTATTCATTCGTTCTTGTCATTCTTTTATTCATTTAACAAACATTCAGAGAGCACCTCCTCATTCCAGGTGCTGGGGACAAAGAAGAATAAACCTTAGGCCCAGCTCTTGAGTAGGTCACGCAGAATGGGGAGATGGTCTCCCAAGATGAGCCCTCCTTTTTTGTCAACGCTGTGCTACTCCCCAGCCATGCTGCATTCAGCTTTGTGTGTTCAAACTTAAATATTGGAGACTGCAGAGATCTGTCTTGCAGGTGGCAGCGGCCAGCAACTCAGGAATGATATTCTTGTTCTGGGAAGCCCTGTCATGAGGAATTTTTGTAACAAAATCACCAATACCTTCCCGACCACCAGCCAAAGCAAGGGCGTGGCAATTGAACATAGAATTACAGCCAGATTGTTGGTGAGGGCTTTAGTACACAAAGAGCTCTGTCCCAAGTGGCCCGTATGGTAGGGATAAGGGAAGGTTGGACCCTGAAACCCATTGGTTACTTAAGTTATATGCACAGCCCTGGGGACCGGCTTTGGCAGTAGCTGAACTTCTGCTCCCATTAAACCCTGAAGTATTTGCATAGGGAGAATTTCCAGGATGCTAAACTCTCCGTTGGCCTTTGGAGTTGCTCTCCTGCAAAAGTTAATCTAGTCATTTGGCCTTATTTACTCATTTTCATCCTGTTTCTCTGCCCTTTGGTAATCAAGACACAATAGGCGATTTGAAAAATAGTCCATCATTTTTAAAAGCTAATGGAGAAGAAAATATCCCCCTTAGAAAAACCACCACCATTTATCTAGCTGCCTTTCACAGTTTAAACCATGCATAATTTGTGTTCATTGCATTAAAATAAAAATCAGGGTAGCTGCTGGTTCAGGCAATCAGGGGCTTAATCTGTATTGTATTTTAATTTCTTGGTTGAAATGCTCCTGCCTAGATACTAGGTCTTGGTGGGAGGGGGAGGCCTTTGCATTTCTCCCCGCCCCCCACCGCTTTCCTATCTTCTGCTGTGGCCTACTTCGCATAGGCTGCAGAGATGGGGTTTTGGCAAATACACAATTTGCATACTGGAGTCATTGCCACCCGGTCTCCACCCCAGTCTTAACAGGACCTCTTTCCTCTGCAGGAAGTCGAGTCCCCTGTGTTTTCATTCAGACAGTGACACCCTAGAAGACTGCTTCTCATTCATGCTTAATTAGCTTCTCGTCCATTCTTGTCTTCCAGTTTTCTACCTTTTCCCGTGACATTCATACCTCATATTATTTTCAAGCTTGGGTTTAAGTGTAGTCCAATGGACAAAAATAAGCCAACATATTTTTTGTGTGCCGCTATGTGCTGATAGATGCCTAGTTAAAATATTTGCCTTTTCTTTTCCTTGGAGTTCTAGACAGATCTCTTTTCTTAACTGCCTAGGTCCCGCCATTGACTTGGAAAAAGTAAAGTCAGAATGTCTCGAGCCCGAGCCGGAGTTACGGAGCACTTTCAGTGAGGAAGCAAATACGTCGTCCTATTACCCCGCTCCTGCACCTGTCATGGACAAGTATATCCTAGACAATGGCAAGGTAGTGTTTCAAGCTCACTATCCATTCCCTGCAAGTGTTGGTTAGTCAGTGTGAAGATGGAGAGTATGGTGGGAGCTTCCCGAGACACAGCCTGGCCAGTTGGCCTCCTGGCCTAGCCCTGAGTGACTGCTTCCAGAATCCATGTGTTATAACTCGTGGAGCTTTACTAGGACTTTTTCTTTCTCTCTTCCTTTTCCTTTTTTTCTTTTTTTTTTGGTAAACATTGGGCCAAAGCAACTGTAAAACTAAACTGACATTTAAAAATAGCTTATTAGTGAGAATGTATTTTAAAATGATAATGCAATGAAACCAGATGCATAAAATTTATAAGGTGATCTAGAAACATCTGATTTACAGATATGGATACTACTCAATATTTATCCATTCACCGTTTACCAAGTACCTATGTGTTCTAAGCCCCGCCCTAAATGGCAGGGATACATGGGACTTCCCTGGCAGTTCAGTGGTTAAGACTTCACCTTCCAGTGGGTGCGGGTTCAATCCCTGGTTGGGGAGCTAAGATCCCACATGCTCGTGGCCAAAGAACCAAAACATAAAACAGAAGCAGTATTGTAACAAATTCAGTAAAGACTTTGAAAATTGTCCACATCAAAAAAAAAAAAAAAATCTTTAAAAAATAAATAAATAAATAAAATGCCAGGGATACAGAGGTGAATGGGACATGCTTCTTACCCCTAGGCTGCTTTCAAGTTGTACATTCAGCGTGGTTAGCCCACAGTCCTAGGACCACATATAACTCCTCACATTTTTTTGTAAGACTCTTGAAAAAATGTTATGAAAGAAAACTTAAGCAATGTTAGTAGTTATATTAGTACAGGGGTGAAAAGTAATGGAATAGCCTTTGGAAGTCTTAAAGTCACATGGTGATATAGTAGCAGGGCAGGGAGAAGACTTCTAATATTCTTCCAACATCCAAATGAATTCGTCTTGGAGGAAATATATTGGATCCCTTTGTCTAGGCACTGGTCAGATGCAGTTTTACTGTAATATTCTCTGCTACCACGGCATACATTGCAGACCTCACCTCTCCTTCTCCCCAGAGACTCATCTGTGTCAGTCTGTTTTTCTTGCCTTATGCTTCAAAAGGTCTCTGTTTACCCAGTATTGTTCCCCAGTGGGTTGATGAGAAAGAAAAGGTTGTTTTATTTGGGTTTGTCCAGATACATCCCTGCAGCTGGCCAGACTGAGCCAAAGCAAATAGCCAAAGCTAAGGAAATGAAACTTGTTAGTCTTTCAGGCTCTCTTGGAGATGCTGCCCTCATCTCCGTGGAGCACTTCCTCCCCCCAGAGGGCCAAACCATAGGCCCATTCTGCCTTGCCTTGCTGCAGCCAGCAAGCTTTAAGAGTCTGCCTTGTAGGGCTTCCCTGGTGGCGCAGTGGTTGAGAGTCCACCTGCCAATGCTAGGGGACACAGGTTCGTGCCCCGGTCCAGGAAGATCCCACATGCCGCGGAGCGGCTGGGCGCGTGAGCCATGGCCGCTGAGCCTGCGCGTCCGGAGCCTGTGCTCCGCAACGGGAGAGGCCACAACAGTGAGAGGCCTGCGTACCGCAAAAAAAAAAAAAAAAAAAGAGTCTGCTTTGCAGGTTAGAGGTGGCATGACAGAGTGGAAATAGGCAGCCTGGAGCCTGAGTTTAAGCTTAGCTCTATCTTTGTCCTACCTGTGTGACTCTGAGTGGGGTTTCCCTTCTCTGGGCCTCAGCGTCTCTGTCTGTGCCAGGTGGGATCAGATGAATGCTCTCCATAGTCATTAACAGTGACTCAAACTGTGTGTCTAAGTTTGGTGAACCTTTCCCAACTGAAGATAAAGAAAAGACTATTCTGTCTTTGTTGACTTCTTTTTAGTCATGATCACATTGTGGAATGACTATAGACTTTTTCTTAAAGTAGCTTCTAAGAGAAATCTTTTTCTCTCTTGTTTTGAAGACCGATGGACAGTTTCTGAGCATTATGAGGGTCTCTTTTGCAAAGGATCATTTTTCCTCCAGGAAAATGGGTCTCTCAAAGTTCATTTAATTTTTTCACTCTCGAGTTGCTCAACAAATCTTTAAAGTGCCAACTTTCCTTTTTCGTCGATTATTGCCAGCACTTTGCTATCAAACTAACCTGCCTTCTGTTTGCAGCTAATTTGCAATCAGAGAAATGTATTAAGGGAGAGGAAGGAAGCAGACTTACTGGAAATGGATGGCAGCTTCCTAGAACAGCAGTCCCCACATCCCAGAAGCAGCCATCATTGTTCTTGGCTCTGCAGTCATTTCTGACCCTTCCTTCTTTCTGCCTTAATCTCTGTGCTGCCTAGAGCATGGGGAGGGGATCCATTTCCTAGCAGGAAACTGGTTTTGTCCTAAATAACATTTCACAAAGATATTTTTTTGATCAAGTCCCATCCCACCAGTTGCCATACTTTTAATAACCTCCCTTGAAAGCATAAGGCTAACATTTTGGTCACATGGGGCTTTATGTGAATAGGGCTTGCCATGAAAGCTACTTTCTGATTTTGCTAAAGTGCATTGCTTTTCTTTGTCTTAAGATATTTTATTTCAAAAACTCGTTGAATCATAAAGCTGCAAAGACCATTAAAGTTTAAATAGTCTAATTTATACATGGGATAGATGGGGAAATACATCCAGAGAAGGGGCTCGTCTATAGTTATACAACAGATCAGAGGCAGGCAGGCAGGAACTAGAAGCCGGATCACCTGGCTTCCAGGTCAGTGCTCTTTCCAGTCTGTTCTGCACCCCTGAAAATGGGGCATGACACGGAGCTTTGTTGACCTCAGGAGCCCTTGTCCCAAATGCCCCAACCTATACCTGTGATTGGTCTTATCCAGGGCCACTTCTTTCTGTGCTATAAAATTGGCCTTGTATTCGAATGCATGTCAGAAAATATTTTCTTCTCCAAGGAACAGCAGCTCCTCAGAACTGAAAGCCAGTGACACTAAGACATATTAAATACGTGCATCAGTTTCTTACTGCCTTGTGTTCAGACTAGCGCTGATCGCTTTGTAGGAGGCAAAGGAGGCAAAGCCTCGACCTCTCCCCACAGAGACGTGGGGCTGAATCAGGTAGTGAAGCCTCTCAGTAGGCTAGAAATTCAGAAGGGATAGAGCTTAGCCCTGGAGAAGTGAAGGAGGTTTTCCTGCACTGGGGACCGGGGCTTGAAAGACTAGCAGGCTTAAGAAGGCATAAGGGAAGGCACTCATCCCTGGGTGGGGGAGAGGCATGAGCAGAGACGTGGATGGGGGAAAGAAGGCAAAGGAAGTAACAGTTTCTGGTTGTGTGCTGTCCTCCTGACGTTTGACTCATGTTATCTCACTGAATCCTCAAAACAGCTCTACGAATTAGGTGGTGATCTGCCTGTGGTATAGCTGAGAAAAGTAAGGTTCAGAGAGGTAAAGTGACTAGCCCAAGACACCCAGCTATTCGGTGGAAGGGCCAGGATTCACACAGGGCTGGAGACTCTAGAGCCCATCCTCTTTCTGTTACCTACCACACACTGGAAGTAGGAGGAAATGAGTGAGCTTCGGGACATCACTGAGTGATGGACATAGTACGATTAGCAGGTTGAATGGAAACAGGATTCTAGAGGACCTTTAATGCCGCCTGAGGAGGTTGGATTTGAGGTGACAGGAAACTGGGAGCCATTCAAGATTCCAGAGGGTTAACATAAAAACACAGAGTTGAAAGACTGCGGAAGTCATCTAGTCAAAGAAGGAAAGCTATGTTTTAGGGAATGAATCTGGCAGTGTTTACAGCGTGGGTTGGAGCGGGCAGGGACTGGAGGCAGGAAGGCCAGCCCGTGGCTTTTCTCCAGGTTCCCTGACTGCAGTGTGAACTGCAGTGGGCGCTGGCCAGGGCAGTGGCCGGGCAGGTACAGAGGAAGACTCAAGAGGAAAGCCATCTGAATACTGATCTGCTTTGTTTCCACCCCCATTAGCACCACCGTGACACTGGTGGCAGCAGGAAGGCCGGGAGAGCATGGGCTGCAGGGTCATAGGATTTGATTCCAGAATGTACTGATAGTATGTCTTAGGAAAACTAACGAGTCCTTTTGAATCTCTGTTCCTGTCTGTAAAGTAGGAGTAATTATTTCTACCTATTTCCATCTCTTAAGGTCATTATGAGGATTAACTAAACTGAGAGTACAATACCTAGTTCACTATAGGTATGCAAAAAATATTAGTGTCCCCTGTCTCTTGTAGAACATTGGCTAAGATAACTGCCATTTCTCTTTTAATAACAGTACATTAAAAGGTTGTAGGAAAGCAAGGCTCAGGTTAGAAAAGAGCAGAGATCTTTGGAAAACTGAAGTTGTCCTCCATCTCCAAGGCTTTCTGATTCTGCATTTAACGTAACTCACACCCCTTGTTTTCCCCTATCTCAGGAAGCTTGCGTGGGTAGCCCCAGAGAGTCATCCAGGGAGGTGACTTGGGGTCCAGCAGGGAGCAGCAGGGAACTTGTCCCCAGTATGCCTGATCTGGCACACAGACTGCCCACCTGCAGTTCAGACTGCAGAGAAAAGGCCAGACTTGACCTTGGGTCTATGTTGCCCAGCCAGCCCCAGGCAGCGCATCTCACTCCAGGGTTACTGATCTTCCTGAGTCGTATGAATAGATTTATAGCACCAGGGTTTGCAGCACAGGAAGGCCAGGTGGATCTGGTTACCTGATATCGTGCCTGCAGAGGTCTGAATGATCTTTTGAGCTAAAGGAAGTGAAGTTAGATATGGCAGGTAGATTGGTTACTTGCTGACATTGGTGGGTGGGCTGTGTTAGAGTCGCTGGCTGACCTGTCTGCCCATCTGTGCGTGCCCACCTTGCTTTCCAGGCCAACCTTCGGTAGAAAGATCTCCAAACATGGGTCCTGCTGGTCTGCCATCAGTCTGGGTGTGCGTGCTGTCTCTCAGACTAGACTCTCCTGAGATGCCTCCCGACCATGCGACGTCGATGACCTACAGTCTTTCTGAAGACAGGGACCTTGGCAGGGACTTTCCATTCCCCTCAGAAAGTTTACCTCATCAGTGGCTTCCTCTCCTCCATCCCCACAGAGGCCATTTCCACCCTCCATAGACTCAGCAGAAACACAACATAAATAGCAATGTCAAAGTCAAAATTTCATTTTTTTTAATGATTAATGTTAGCAAATGGTCTTCAAGTTGTTAAAAGAGCCAGGAAGGGGGAAAAAAAAAAATCTCAAACCTCATCGCTAGATCATTCTGGGACTTTTGCATTTAATGACTCTGCACTGAAACTTTCTGAGTGCTTCCCTTACAAAGAGCATAAGATTGTGTTTTGTTCTGTGTGCCGTCAGATCAGACCAGAGACACAGTGGTTGTGCTTAATTTGTTAAAATCATAGGTGTTCTCAGCCAGAAGGAATTTAGCTGAAATCCAACTCTCCCAGTTCAGTTCATGGGACACTGAAGCCAGAGACAGAAAGGACTTGCACAGACACACTCCGTTAGTGGCAGAGCCTGGACGGTTTCCCTCCTCACTCCACCTGCTGTGGTTGTCACACCTAGGAATTACCTAGGAAGCTTTAAACCATCCTGACAACGAGGCCCCCCCCAGATGAAATAAATCCACTCTGCGAGTTCAGAGTTGAGTGACTTTCAGCTGTACCTTTCTCAACCCGGTTTTTCCACCTGAAATGAAAATAGGGTCCCAACGCCTTCCTTCCAGGGTTGCTGTGAAGATTTTGAGATAGTGGATATAAAGCCGTAGAATAAGGCCTGGCACGTTACAGGTATTCAGTAAATGATTATTTCCCTTAAAGAAAGTTAATTAGTGTTTATGGAACAAATCCCTTGCAGTTGTGCAGCAGTGTCTTTTAAAGGACAAGAAAAATTTCCAGCTCCCATCCTGTCCGACTAAACAGGTGCTTGCTTGTGTTCTTATCCCTTTCAGGTCCATCTGGGAAGCGGGATTTGGGTTGATGAGGAGAAATGGCACCAGCTACAAGTAACCCAAGGAGATTCCAAGTACACAAAGAACTTGGCAGTCATGATTTGGGGAACAGATGTTCTGAAGAACAGAAGCGTCACAGGAGTTGCCACAAAAAAAAAGAAAGATGCAGTCCCTAAGCCACCCCTCTCGCCTCACAAACTAAGCATCGTCAGAGGTGGGTCCCGCACTGGAAATGCAGTGGCTGAGGCACCGCCCTTTACTCTGTCAGGAATGTGTCGGGCACATTTCAGTTCAACAGACACCTACTGAAGCTTCTCCATGCCAGGCCCCGGGCTGGGCATGGGGACACAGGAGCAGATGTGGACCTGGTCCCAGAAGAGCTCACATTTAACAGGGCAAATGAGCTGTGGACACAAGTACAGTTCAAGGAGCTAGCATGCGAGAGGGACAGAGAGGGGGTTCTCAGGAGGGGAGGAAACCCCTAGCCAGAAAATCAGGGAAGGGTTCCTGGGAAGGGGGTCACTGGATTGGGCCTTGAAGGATCCGTCAGATCTGGAGATGCAGATGTGTAAAGAGAGGTACTCGGGAGGCAGAAGCATCTGGAACAAAGGCGTCGGGTTGGGAAAGGAGTGCTGCTGTGTAGACAGCCTGAAGATGGAGGCTAGGGGACCAGTTCTGGGGGGTCCTAGCATCGTGCCTGGAGCACTTAGTGAGGTGCAGACCAGCTGAGGGTCACTGGATTCAGCTTCTTTTCTGGGGTTTGGGAGGGGTTGGAGGGAAGGCAGAGAGACAGGGAGTCGTTTGTAAAGATAGGGCACTGGCCTGGACTCTGATTTTCCTTCCCTCCTGCCTTCCTTTCTTCCTTCCTCCCCTCTCTTCCCTCTTCCTTCTTTCTTTCCTCTATCTCCCCCGCCCAGTCTCCATCCATTCACGAAGCCCTTATTCTTTGCCAGGCTGTCTACTGGGTATGGAGGACACAAAGGGGGATAAGACACAGTCTCCATCTGCAAGGTGCTTACAGTCACATGGGGAAGATGAACACGAGAACAGATAGTTACGGTACAGAGAATACAAATTATGGAGACAGGCAGGAAAGTACATGGGAGCAGGGAGGACATAGTAATTGCTAATTGTTCTGAGCGATCACTACGTTTCAGGTTCTGTTTTTTCTATGATTCTGTGTTAAAAATTCTTTTACATATATTAACTCATTTAATCTTCATAACACATAACACTCCTTCTGTTGGCTGCCGGTATTATCCCTGTTTTAGTTGCAGAAACTGGACACAGAGATGTGAAGTAACTTGCCCAGATCGCACAGCTTTAGGGGTAGAGCCAGGAGTCCGAGCCAGGAGGGCTGGCTTCAGAAGCTGTGCTCCTAACCACTAGTCTCTTAAGTGTCCAACTGCCATGTTTTGATGAAGAAAGCAAGACTCAGTCAGCATGTACATTTCGAACAGGCCATGTGCCAAGTTCTGGGGCAGACAGCAAGTATGTCCATGAACAAATCAGATAATTTCAGGTACTGATGAAAGGCCGTGAAGCCTCATCGAGCGATACAGTAGCTGTGTTGGCTGGGGTGGGTGGAGAAGACCTGCCTGAAGCGGTGCATTCAAGCTGGGAACTGGATGTAGAGGTCAGCCCTGTGCAGGTCTGAGGGGTGGTGAAGCAGGCAGAATAAAGAGCGGGTTCAAAGGCCTGCATGCTCAAGGTGTGAAGCAGCCCTGGGGCACTGCAGAGTCATGAGTGAGGGGATACTGAGATCAGGCCGGTGGGCGAGAGACGGTCTTTTAGGGCCGTGAAGGCCACGGTAATCGGCTTGGATTTACCCTACCTGCAGGAGAAAGGTAGTGGAGGTCTTCAGTGGGAGCGACCGAATGGGAGGTCAGCTAGGAGGCTGCTGCAGTGGTCTCGGGGAGGCATGACAGTGCCATGGACTATGGTTAGAGCAGTGGAAACAGAGAAAAATGGCCAGATTTAGGGTGTATTTTGGAGGTCGAGGTGTAAGGACACAGAGAGATTAGGTGACCAGCCAGAAGTCCAGCTACAGGGTTTCAGAGCCTGGATTTAAGCCCACCCCCACTGACTCTGGTCCAGGGCTTGTTCCGTAGCACAGCTGCCCCCGTTGCTGGCCGATTCATGATGACCTGATTTAGGCAGACACTTATTTTTAGACGAGCGGAGGTAACCTTTAGTCTGCCCACTGTCTGAAAAGGTGGAGCCTAGTTTGGGAGGTCGCCCTGAGAAAGCGTCCTTCCTGGGGACACAGCCCTGCCTACCTGAGAGGTGGCTGACCTCTAATTCTGTTACGCTTGTTGGGCTGTGACTCAGCAGGTCCCAGGTGCCTTCCAGTGACCGGCTGCCCTCCCGTTGTCACGCCGTGGCGTCAGATGATCTGCTGTGCGTCTGCCTCAGGCACGGGTCTGACTGTGTCGGACTCACCTCCACGTCTTCCTTGCCTCTCGCACAGGTCCTGGCACACAGTGGGAGCTCAGCCGCCGAGGGCTGAACAAGTGCCACGCTGAGACCTGCAAGCTGATCCCCTGACTGACTCTTCACACTGTTTCTTGCGAACTGCTTTCCTTCCATGTCGCAGTGTCTTCAGCTGAACACTCACCTCTTACGACAGTTAAGAGGGCTGCTTGGATTGTAGCTTGGAATAGTTATGTTTGAGGTGTGAGAAGAAGTTTCCATTCTTTGTTGACAAGTGAGCTGCCCCCATGGAGCCGACATGACCTCGTGATGGTCACATCATTGAAGCTCACGATTGTTCAGTGCTTTGCAGCTTCCAGGCCCCCTCCTGTCTGCTCCCAGTGCAGGGTGATGGGGAGTAGAAATTGGAACCAGGTATCGAAAGCCTGGGGTTGAGCCCCAACTCTGCTTTGCTTTAACTTTGAGCTCACCCTGGTTCTCTTATGTTTATTTTTGTCTCCCCAGGCCCAGCGCAGTGCCAGTACCAGGTAGATGCTTGGTGTGTCCATGTGTAAAGGCAGGATTCACGGTCCTTTTCCTGGCTGCCCAGTGGACCTGTAGACATTTGTATGTTCTTTGGACCCCATTCAGATGATGTCATTTGCAGCTAATCTGGTCCCCAATACTAAGGAACATTCTAGAAGAAAATACCTCAGCTGTGTGTCTTGGGGCTATTACAGGCTCACTGTCTTCAGGCCCATAGGCCAGGCCCTCCAAGTTTCCCTCACTGATCCACTCCTCCATTTTCTAAGCCCTTTTTAAACCTTCTCTACTCTTCCAGAACATGGTAGTCCACAGCTCTCTCTTTTTCAAAAGATGACCATGTCTCTTCCTTCACAGAGAAAAGAAAAAGAAATCCCACAGCTTCGAACCACCCTATCTACAAACTTCACTGGATCCCCCAGTCTTCTGCCTCATGTTTCCTTCTCTTATTTGGGACTGGCCGTTCTCTCCAACTGGATCACAGCCCACCTGCCTTCCTAAGTACCTTGTCTCTCCTGCTCAACTGGGTCCTTCCCGGCACCATTTAAATATACTTTGATCACTCATTTCTTACAGAAGCAAACAAAACACTCCCTAGACGTCACTTCCATCACCCAGCTGCCGCCATGTCTCTCCGTTCGTTTTCACATCCAGGTTTCCTGAAAGAGTTGTCTGCATTCACTGCCCGTGTGCACTGGGAACGCCCCTGCCATCTGGCATCGGCTCCCAGCCCTCTGCTTAACTCTGTCCTTGCCAGGCTTCCCCGTGGCTCCGCCTCTACCTCTTCCCCGGCCGTTTGACCTGATCCCTCCTCCTTTACTGAGAAACCCTCCTGCATGCTGAGGTCTCCTCCTGCCTGTGGCTTCGCATCCCCCCTGTGGGCTCCCCTCCCGCTGCCCTCGCCTCTGTCTCCAGCCCGCTTCTCTCTCACTCTGCAACGCTGCCCTCCGCTGCTCTCACCGTCCCCATTGCCCTCGGTGTGCTCACGGCCCTGCGTTGAAATCCACACTCCTGGCGTCTTGGCTGCTGCCTGGTGATCTGGCCTCTGGTGACTCCCCTGGCCTCATCTCACACCACACTTCCCATTTCCACTGTGCTCTAACCACTGAGGCCTTCTCCCGGCCCCCTCCTGTCCCCACTGCCAGCAGTGCCCTTCCTCTGGTCTGCACATCCTGCCTCCTTGTCATTCAGAGAGGCCGTCCCCGACCGCCCGGGCTGATGAAGTAGCCCTTCCATTGCTCTCTGTCACATCACCCTCCCTAAAGTCCCTGCGGAGCACTTCTTCTTTGCTTGTTTATTGCTTGATGGTTGTCTTTTTTCCCCGCCTCCATTAGAACATCAGATTTATGAGCATCTTGCTCAGGGCCAGCATATAGTCAGTGTTCAATAAATATTTGTTGAATCAGTGACTGATTCCCAAATCTATATTTGACCTCAGTTCACACTTCCACGTTCCCGACCCATACATCCAGGTGCCCACTGGTCACCTCCTCCTGGATGTCCACGTGACGCTGGCACATCTGCACTGCTCACTGCTCTCTCCTCTTCCTTCTCCCCAAAGCCTTCTGCCCCTCTGTGTTCCCTGTCTTGATAAATGACACCACCTGCCAGGGACCCAGAGAGGCCTCATTCCTGACTCTTCCACGTGCCCGCTCTCCATCTGTTCTGCCCCAAATACCTTTTAAACCGTCCACTCCTCTCCATACCCATCGCGCCTCACGCAGTCCAGGCCACATCACCTCTCCCCTGCCTTACTCCAGCAGCTGCCAGACTCTTCTCTCCATTTGTAACCAGAGTGATCTTTCAGAAACCCAGTATGATCCTGTTACCACCACCCCGTCACAGCCAGTCCCTGGTGCCCATGATTGAAGGGTAAGCTTCTTAACGTGTCGTAAAAGCGCCTTCATAATCTGTCCCCTGGCTCTAGCTCCAGCTTACTTTTCAGCAATATCCCCCTTGTTCACTAAGTTCTTACCATAATGAACTGCTGTATTTCAACAAGCCTTGTCCCCTCTCACATTAGGGAATTTGTAAATGCTATTCCTGGCACCTGGAACATAGACTGCCCACCCGACACGCGTGCTGCTCTGCCTGGCTAGCTGCTACTCACCACCCAGGTGTGCTTAGGGGAACTGTCCTTCAGGAAGCCTTCCCTGGCCTCTCAGGGTGGGGGGATCCTTCTGTTGTATGTCCCAGAGCACCCCGTGCCTACCTCTGTTCTCTTCTTTCTGTATCTTTGCCTCCCAGGTGCCGGGTCAAGCAACCCTTTAGAGCCCATAACTACTTGCCATGCCGATGAGTGAGAAGGAAATCGACTTGCCCAAGGTCATACAGCGGGTTAGATCAGAGCTGAGCTGAACTGGGCTTTCAGGCTTCCCACTGTCTCCAGGGCTTTCTTGTCTTACCAAAATACAGTGTTGATTTGTTTTTTCTTTACTAGGCAGGCAGTTTTCAAGCCTGTCTCCCATCGCACCATACACTCCCCATTTTTAGGCTAATTATTTGAGCTCGTCCAGACTGCATTTGACTGGTTCTTCCCATGCAAGCTGTCTGCTGGATTGAGATTGTTTGTATTTATTTTGTATGATTTTACCACATTTACTCGCATTTGCCATATCAAAATGACAAAAGCCTTGGTGCTCACAGGGTTGGTGAGGATTTTCTCCTCTCTGTGGTTTTAAAGTCACTCCTTACCGTGTAGCAAAGGGATGTGGTGAACGCTGACACTGCTTTAGAAAGACGAAAGCAGAAGGGCTGGAGGAGCGTCTCGCTTTAATGACAAGCTCCAGAATGGCAGTTAAACCTTATTAAGGTCAAATGACCTTTTTTTTTTTTTTTTTTTGCGGTACGCGGGCCCTCACCGCTGCGGCCTCCCCCGCTGCGGAGCACAGGCTCCGGACGCGCAGGCCCAGCGGCCATGGCTGACGGGCCCAGCTGCTCCGCGGCACGTGGGATCTTCCCGGACCACGAACCCATGTCCCCTGCATCGGCAGGCGGACTCCCAACCACTGCGCCACCCGGGAAGCCATTTATTTATTTATTTATTTATTTATTTATTTTTATTTATTTATTTTTTTGGTGGTACGCGGGCCTTTCACTGCTGTGGCCTCTCCTGTTGCGGAGCACAGGCTCCGGACGCGCAGGCCCAGCGGCCATGGCTCACGGGCCCAGCTGCTCTGCGGCACGCGGGATCCCCCCGGACCGGGGCACGAACCCATGTCCCCTGCATCGGCAGGCGGACTCCCAACCACTGCGCCACCCGGGAAGCCCCTCAAGTGACCTTTTGCAGAGTGTCTGAATTTTCAAATGAGCCACGGCGTTGAGTTCTGGTTAATTTTTATAACTTTTTTAATAGGACCCATTAGCGCTGTTATAAACCTTGTTAATTAAGCAATAATCGCAAATGCTCCCTTGCAGAGGGAGGCATTCCTGGCAGCTGCAGGTGATTAATATCTGGAGTCTAACGAAAGCCTTTTAATGAAGCTCAGGGGCCGCTCAGTGCTCTTACCCTCAGGAAACGAGAATGATTGGGATTCTGTGGGCGCCTCTGAAAACCTTCCTCCATCTGTACCTTTCTCTTCCTGCCTTCTCTCCAGCTCATGCCGGGGCCTCTCAGGGCCATCACACCCACTCCCCTGCCCCCTTCTCTCTCCTTTGCCTCTTTACCCACCCTGTTACCTTTCAGAGAACGAGACCTAGAGCTGGAAGAATCTTCTTAGATGATTGGATTTGACATCCTGCTTTCAGACAGTAAGACTGAGACCCAGAGAGGTTCCCACTCGAGGTGGCACAGCAACCAGGGTTAGAGCCAGATTCGAACCCCTCAACTTGGAAACAGTCCTCTGCACAGGGTGTCTTCCTCATTTGGTTGAGCTTCCAGCAGTGTCACTGCAAGTGTCTGCATCCCCCTGGCCCTGGGCTGGGGAGGGACCCCGTGTTCGGGTCTGTAGGTGAGACAGCGTGGTCACAGTTCTATGAGACTGTGATCAGGGCTTTGATAGAGGAAGAACCCAGGCGAGTATGGAAGCACTGAGGGTATAGGCAGAATGGGGTCTCCCGGCTCAACCTGGTAGGTTCCAAGCAGGTTGGATCTGGAAGAATGGGTGGGGTTTAGGCAGGTGAAGGATGAGACATGAGACCAGGGTAATCGGTAATCTGGGAGGAGATGAGCAAAGACTGACTTGTGGGATAGCCTGGAGGGGGTCGGGAGATGCAGGTGGAGTCAGCAGAGGTGGGACCTTCTCAGCTCACTCCCTGTGGAAAAGCCAACACGAGACACAGTGCAGGTTAGTGCGGCTGGAAGCAGCCAGGAAGTAGTGAAGGCCAGCTGAAAGCTTTCAGAGGCTTCTCTGTGCAAAGCCTGATCCGCAGGGAGGAGATGGTGCCCCAAAGAAAGAGGGCATCTAGCACATGCACCTGCAGCCCGGACGGCAACAGTGGGCGGGCTGGCCACGTGCCCGGGGGGGCTCAGAGTGGAGGCCGCAGGGGATCGTGCCTGTACTTACCTCCTCTCTCCAGGCCTCAGCCATGTCCCGTGTGAGTGGAGGGGTTGTAGCACAAGGCCGTCTCCGTGATCCCTCCCCAGTGCTGATGTTCTGCGTCACTAACAGCATTGCCTGCTGTGCACTGGCCTGGTACACGGGACTTTGTTTATCCTGCGTGGCAGTTCCTCGAGACCGGGTTGTCACTCCTGTTTTATAGGTGGGGAGGCTCAGGTTCAACAAAGTTAAAAATCTTGCCCACGATTACATACCCCAGTGGTACATTCCCCACCTACACCCCTAGTCCCCTTATGTCCAGAATTATTATGTCCCCTCAGGTTTCCCAAGAAAAGCATTCATTCATTCATTCAACATACACTTACTGAATCTTGCCCCTGTGCCAGGCGCTGTGCTAGGCCCTGGGAACGGACAGTGGCATATACATAAAATAACTGTAATAGCCTCAGACAGGGGTAGTGCTCCTTATAGCTTGAAGAAGGCTTGCAAAACGTTTGTTTCACATCCCTCATGGCAGCCTTAAAAAGGATCATGTGTGGTTTGTTATCCTTGTTTTATGAGGTGAGGAATCTAGGGCAATGATTTGCCTCAGGTCCCCATGCTAGGAAGTAGTCCAAAGTCCAGCTTCAGTCAGGCCCTGTCTGAGGCTCACTCCTTGCTTCATCACAGCAAACGGCAGAGTCAGTAAAAGTGGCCATCCTCAGCCTCATTAGTAAGCACCTCAGTGAGGTACCGCTTCACGCCCGCCAGGTTGTCAGAACCTTAATAATCTGACCTGGAGTGCTGTTGGAGCTATGGGGCAGGCAGTCCTTGCACACACTGCTGTTAGGGGTGCCAGGCGGCACAGCCATTGTGGAAAACAGTTTCCCAGGTATCACCTGGTAAAGCGTAGTAGGCACGCACCCTAACGCTGGGCAGTTCCAGCCTAGGCCCGGACTGAGCATTTCCTGCATGTTTGCCCCAAGAGACACGGCTCAGGGTGCCTGTAACTGCAGAACATGGGAAACCATCCAAGTATCCGTGGACGATCAAGTGGGTCAGCCGACTGTGGACTAGTCGGACAGTAGAACGCTGCTCACCAGTGGAAGTGAGTGACCTGCAGCTGTACGCACACTTCAGCACGGGTGACTCAACTGGAATGTTGGATGAAAAAAGAAAAGTCAGATGGACATACAGAGTATGGATACACTTGTAAAAAGTTAAAAATGGGAAAGGTAGCAACGTGTTATTTAAGGATGTGTGCATATGTGCAAACACGAAAAGAAAAGCAAACATTGAGGAGAGTGGTTACCTCTGGTGAGGATGGTGCTGGGGAAGGGCATTTAGAGGCTTCAGAGGGACCAGCAATGCTGCCCTGTTAAGCAGGGGCATGGACACATGGGTGTTGTATCATTATCTTTAAAGTATAAATTTACAGTGTATATCTACTCTTGTGTTGAAAAATTTAAAATACAGCCGTGCCAGATATGTGAGTTGGTGCTTTGGAAGTATGTCAGGAGGCATATTTTCCTTTCTCCCCCTTAAAGATACGTACTCGAATGTACCATTAATCCTTGGCCTTCTTGTTTCTTTTCCCTGTCTAGAGTGTTTGTACGACAGAATAGCACAAGAAACTGTGGATGAAACTGAAATTGCACAGAGACTCTCCAAAGTCAACAAGTACATCTGTGAAAAAATCATGGATATCAATAAATCCTGTAAAAATGAAGAACGAAGGGAAGCAAAATATAATTTGCAATAAACTTTGGATTTTTCATAAAGCCTTCTCGTTTTCCTTGTGTGGCGTGTGATTTGCGGGCGATGGTGTTGTCCAGATCAGACCCCACCATGCGTGGTGGTGTGTGGGCGGGGAGCCAGTAGGGTTCTGAGGTCAGCGCCTTGTTCTGAACTTGGACTTCCCACTCCAAGAAGGCGGATGGATTTGCTGAGACTCAGGCAGCATCCTGGCGCCAGTGTTGCTCTGGGGATGGTGAAAGCGCTGTCTTTCCGGAGGCGGATAAAGTGTCTCTGAGTTACCTATCACTTGGCCAAGAATTTGAGCTGATATTTTTACCATTCAAGGACTTCTATCTTTGTTCCTCTATTTTGTTCTATAATAAAGCTTCATTAATTCGTTGCTGTAGACAATCATTAGCCTCATTTATTTAATGATGGATATTAAGTGTACAGTGGAGGTGACCAGTGTCCTTTGAGGGGCGGAACATTCAGGCTGAAGGAGAGAAAATTCATAAGGGATGTGATTACTGTCTACAGATCTGAAGGGCTGTCTCGAAGCAGATTACCTTCTCTTACCTCAAAGGACAGATCTAGGACCTGTCACTCAAGGTGATCTGAGATTCAGCTTTCCTGATAATTTGAGTCAATCTTTGTAAAGAAGTGTCAGGGGGTGGTAATGTTAGATGTGGTTCAGGGTTACCTTCAGAAAGTCAGGGGCAACGTCACCTGGTGTCGGTTCGTTCATCCTATCTTGTATCTCAAATGATCTTTCAAGTTGCATAATTTTTATCTCGTTCAGTAGCTGCGTCTCTAAAGTGCCTGGTGCCCAATCAGGCAGACCACATTTGATCTTCCTGTTGATTAACACTTTCCTTTCTGTAATGCCTATGAAGTCAGTGTAGTATGTTGGAAATGGCAAGGGTTTGGGGCTGAGGAGTTTGGGTTCCAAACCTGGCTCCACTGCTTGCTTTGGACTTAGCGTAACCTCTTGAGCTTCAATTTTCTGTTCCGTAAAAAGGAGATAATATCTACTTTGCGGAATTGCAACGTTGCAGAGTTGCTATAAGTTATAGAGCACTATATATAAGTGCTCAATAAATGTTGGTAGTCATTATTTTCTTCATTTCTGGTTATTGGCTTTTAGGCATTGGTTGGAAAACTTTGGCCTCTGGTTTCTCTAATGGTTTATCCACTAAACCATTAGATTACTGGTGGTCTATAAGCAAAAGCTCAGGGTCACTAGGGGGAGTAGTGGAGGTGGCTACCTCTTTGAGGAATTTTATTTTAGTACATAAAATAATTCTTTGTAATCTGAAATATTATATGCTTGCTAATAGGATGCATAGGTATGAATTTCCTTTTATGGTATTTTCCCGGTTCTCCACAGACGAGTGGTGTGATCTTGGACCAATCACTTAACTTCCCAGAGTCTTTACCAGTACAGTGAGGAAAATTATGCATACCTCACAGGCTATGTGGATAATTAAATAGTAATAACAATAACAGATACTTAATATGTGCCAGGACTTTTCTGAGTGTTTAACAAAAGTTAGTTCATTAGGTAAGTAAAGTTTGTGACACTTACTAGTGTTCAGTAAATTCTTGTTATTAAGATGTGTTCATTTTAACGGCGGGGGAGCAGCTTGGGCATGAGTAGTGTGAATGCATGAGAGGCTGGGAAAAAGTATACATGATTTGAACTCATCCCATTTCCTTCCTAAGCACGGTGAAGATAAACACCCAGAGGCTCCATTTCCCTACAAAGACTAATAAGATATGATACCTGCTTTATAGGTGCTTTTAGGTTGGAAGGGAAAATGGTCATCGAAATACCTGCTTAAAAAGGCTCTGACAGGGCTTCCCTGGTGGCGTAGTGGTTGAGAGTCCGCCTGCCGATGCAGGGGATGCGGGTTCGTGCCCCGGTCCGGGAAGATCCCACGTGCCGCGGAGCGGCTGGGCCCGTGAGCCATGGCCGCTGAGCCTGCGCGTCTGGAGCCTGTGCTCTGCAACGGGAGAGGCCACAACAGTGAGAGGCCCGCGTACCGAAAAAAAAAAAAAAAAAAAAAGGCTATGACGTGAAAGTGCTTCGTGTAATATATGACACATACATCAGGGACAGAACGGGTTGTGAAAGATTGTGGGATCTGATTGTGATTTTACCGCTTCTGGGGAGGTCACTTGACCACTCTGGAGCTCCTTTCTTCTAAAGTGGAGACAGTGATCCCTAAGTCAGGGTTATTGTGGAGAGGAGGCCAGGTGATAGCTGGGAAAAGAGCTCCATAAGTCTCAAAGAGCCATGCAGATGTTAGCTGTCCTTAGCTTGCAAGGCAGCATGAAATCAAAAGTAGATGTGACAAGGAAGGACATAAGAGCTGTTTCTGATGGGGAATCGGGGCAGGGGAGGGGGCAGGTGTTTTTACACCCTAGTTAGACTGAGACTTTTTGAGCACCTGTTGTGTACCTGGTGCCCTGTGACTGTTATGTGAGGGCAGGGCCACCATTCTTACACCCACACAAATGAGTAAATGAGCTCAGAAAAGGTTAAGTAACTTCTTGGCCAAGGTCCCAGAGTTGTCAGCAGTGGAGCTGGGTCAGAATCCAGGTCTGTGCAAAATCTGTCCTTTTACCTCTTCCCTCGAAAACTGAGTGGAATATTATGGTCTGGGCTGAGAATCTAGCCATGTAATCTCAGGGCATATTTCGGAGAGCCCCAACTTAAGTAATCAGTCAATGGAAATCAGTGTCATTAATTCAAGCCATTTGAAAGGATGGGGAATAATAGTACCATTTATGAGGATCCACAGTTTTATTACATTCAAACACATACACAAAACTGAAGTTCATTTTGTGTAGTAGGGAGTTTCCCAAACTTGCCCAGTCTTGAGAATTTGCTGAGGTACTTAAAATACAGATTCCTGGGCTTTGGTTTAGGGTGCTGGATTCAGTAGGGCTGGGATAGAGCTGGGAACATGTGTTTTTAACACAAGTGCCAGTTTTGAATAACACCAGTCTAGTAGACAGCATTAGAAGTCCTGTCTTAACAAAGGGACAAGAGTGTTTCCTAAGTAAGAAGACATGCTCCTTCTACAGTGCATGACAATATTTGAAATTGAGACTCAATTTCCTCTTATAAGTGGCTGAGGATCTGCCCTAAAACCTTGTTTAGAGTTACTCTCTCATGCTCACCAGATGCTGTTTAGTTGGACATGATGCAGAAGGTGACTCAGTGTAGGTGCCAATGATTTTCCCCTCACTTTTACACTTAGATTCTTTCTTTCACTTCCTCTGACAGGCCAGTGAGTTGTGGAGGACAAGACAGTCAATCCTGGATTGGCAGAGCCTGAAATGATGAGGTTTGGGCCCTGTTTACCGAAGCCCCGGCCACAAGTTCTCTGTGGCCAGACCAAACAGAAAGATGTGGTTTGTTTTTATTTTCTAGCTGAGGAAAGTGTGTTGTTAGTGACTGTTATGTGCCCATGCGTTTCTTAGGTGCATTTCTAAATTATGACCTTTTTGGGAATTATAAAGAAATGAAAACCACTTTATAGAAATTTTTGGAAAAATAAGGGAAATATTCCAAATTGCACAGCTGCGAGCATTGTGATGTATCTCTTCTAGTCCTTCATTTAGGAGCGTAAATGTGTATTTTACATACCTGTGGTCATAGCATATCATCAGGTTTGCATCCCTCCCTTTCTTTTTAACATATTGCCCTGTTGCTCCATGAAATTTATAGCCATCAATTCGAACATCCCCCCAGTGAATGGGCATCAAGCTACGGTTGGGTAAACCACCTGGTCGGCTGTGGGACTAACCCACAGGGCTGCCAGTTCACGGAAGCTCTCTCTGCACACTTGGGTCCGGCACGTAATTAAAGTGACCCAGGGAGAGTGGATAAATGGCCGCCAGTGTTACAGGTGGTTTTCCTCTCTCCTCTCCTCTCCCCACGCCCACTCGGTCCTCACCTGTGTGTGCGCCTATCCTGTCTCTGACCTGCTCTGACCTCTTACATTGTGACCTTGGCCTTCAAACCTGCCTTTGGCCCTCCAGACACCCTGTGCTCATCCCACAGCGCGCAGCGCTCATGAGCTTTTCCCTGTGCGCTCTGACTAGGTCCACTCCCGACCTTCCAGCTACCCTCGCTCACCTCAGCCCCTACCCTGTCACCTAGCCGGTCCATTGCCCTTCCTTGAATCTTTAGGTCGTTTATAAATTAAACATCTATGAAGATTTTTGTGTGCACAATTTTTTCCCCCCCTTTATATTTTCTATCAGTTTCTTAGGTTCGTTTTACCTGGGTCAAAAAGAGTACCACTTTTATCATTCTTGATACATATAATGGGCGTGACCGTGTTTTAATTATTTTGCCAACCTAACAGGTGAAAATTGTTACCTCATTATATTTTCTTTGATTACTTCTGAGACTGCACGTCTCTCCAGAGTTTGGTTTCTTGTTTACACAAAATAAACGCTTAACCTGTAAGCATTTCCAGCAGAATTCATTTCATTTTCTGTATATAGTTTTCTCTGGACCAATGTGTTTGTTTACCTTGGGCATATTTTTACTTTTACATCTGCAAATAGACATACCAACAGGTCTTTTCATCACTTCTGCTGAAGAGATGAACCAGCTTCTGCCAAACAGCTTCATAGGCTCATCGAACCGAAGGGTCAAAAGTGAACTTCGAGGTCCTCCACTCAGATCTCCTCTCCACTGAAAGCAAATGCCTTTCCAGACCATGCTGGAACTCTTCCAGGCGTGGAGAATTCACCTTCCTACCCAAGGGCACATCCAATTATTGTCATCACTGAGAAGTTCTTCTGCTGAGCTAAAAATCTACTTCCCTGAGACTTCTGAGGTCACTCAAGTTCTCTCCTCTGAAGTCAGGCAAAATGCTTCTGCTTATAGCCCTTTGCAGAGTTGAAGGTGGCGATCATGTCTCTTCACAGACTAATGAATAGCTCAAATTCTGT